GCTAGGGGGGGGGGGGGGCTACGGTGAGGAGTGAGTAGCTTGGGTGCAGACGCTCCTCCTCTCCGCCGCACGCCGCCTCGCCGCCGGCAGACGCGTCGCCTTCTCCTTGCCCTTCTCCAAACAGCACGCCGCGATCGGCAGCGAGAGGTCGAGGAAGCTGTGGTGTGCGTCGCCTGTGAGCTTCCTCCACCAGACTGTACAGTGTAACTTTGCTGAGGTTGACTCTGACTATCTACTTAAGGTGCCTCGGGCCAGTTGGGGGGGGCAAACCCAGCCCGCCCCCTAGCGCCCCGGGTAAGGCCCAGGTGTGGCCTAGGGCATCAGAAGGGACCAAGAGGAGTCCAGTCTGAGCCATAGAGCCCATGTCTTTGCCCCCGAAGGTCGTGTTCAAATGCCCGGAACGGACGTGTTACAGTGGTGTCCGGCCGGCGCGATCACCGAGCTGTGACGCTCAGGGAAGCCGGTTGAGGTACTGGTTTCTTTGCCCTGGGCTGGCCTACGATCCGTGCTGGATCAGCTGAGCAAGGTTTGGGGAGAATCCCCCATTCAGATCTTCAGATATTTTGACGGATGACCGAAATCACCCCGTTTTTGCCCGTTTTTGGCACAGTGGCACAACTAGGTTGCAGCGAGAATCGGAGAGAGACTGCGAAGAGAGATAGGAAGAGGCGGACGCCCAAGGGTGGGCGACGGCTAGCGCACCACACCACTCTCCTTAAAATCCCTGTGTGGTGGCGGCGTGCCGTTCTCCCATCCCTCCCTTGGGGTGTCTGTTTTCTTTCTTTCTTTCTTTACAACAAGGGCGCGGACTCGTCCGGTCCTTGCTATCCCACAGCAAACATTAGAGTTACGTACTGAATGAAATCGGAAATATCCTCTCTTTCACAACGCAGCCAGCGAGAGTGAAGGGGGGGGCCTGGTGTGAATGAAAGCGTCTTGGGGCCGGGGTTGTGTTTTTGTGTGAATGAAAGCGTCCAACGCTCCATCGCAAACGGCAAAGTTCGGCCGGCTCGCGAGATAGTAAGTGGCCTGGGCGTGGTCCGCTCCATCTGTCGCAGACATGCCGAAGAGTGCGGGGCACTCGACGCCAGAGAAGAAGAAGGCCTCGCTGGCAACCATCCGCAAGAAGGGGCCAGAAAAGACAGGGCTGCCCACATCCATCGACGCCATCATTCGGTTCATGGACGCACGGGAGCCAGGAGCGAACTACCACACGCGGCAGGCTGACTCCAGGGGGGGTGTCTCGACCACTCGTGGGAAACTACGGACCTGGGCAAGGGCAAATCCGGCGCTCCCAGGTGCGTACTTTGCGCTTACCGGCAGCTGGGCGCCGCCGGACGACGAGGCACTGGAGGCTATCATCGTCAAGATCAAGGAGATCATTGCTGCGAAAAAGAAGTAGCCCGTCCCGCGAGGTGTGAATTTGGGGAACCGTTGAGTGTTTTCTAGTTAGAGCAATATGACAATACTGTTGGTCGTGGGCGTGCGTGGAGAAACACACCCCACCCAGAGCTCCTCTGGTCTCTCTCGCGCGCGCCCGCTAATCGTCCACCTCCGCGCTCACGGTGTGATCGTCCGGATCAACCGCAGGCACCGCTCGCGCCTCTCGCCGCGCCGCCGCCGCGGCCTCCTCGGCCGCCTCGGCCTCCGCCGCAACCTCAAACCACGCCTTCGGCGCCGCCTCCGCCTCTGCCGCCTCTGCCGCCTCCGCGGTGGCAGGCGGGGGCGGCGCCTCTGCTCGACGGGCCGCCTCGTCGTCGGCGCCCTCGACCGCCTCCTCGCCGCAGTCGGTGATGACCACGGCGTCAAAGAGGCGGTGGCCGTGCTTCGTGTCTGCCGGCAGCTTCTGGATCTTGTCGACGACCGCCACCTGCAGGAAGGGTCCGGGAAGGGTCCGGGAAGGGTCCGGGAAGGGTCCGGGCGGGCGCGCCTCCTCCAAAAGAGGCGGCAGCTCGCCTACAGGAAGAGGGCCCGGGAAGGGTCAGGCCAGGGCCAGGGAGCCGCCGCCGCCTCTCCCGCCCTTTCATGCCACCCCGTGCCGCGACGCGACGCGGCCGAAGACGACGTGGCGGTAGTCGAAGTGGCTGATTGTGGCGCCGCCGAGGCTCTGCGTCGTTGCCTTTGTGGTGATGAAGAACTGCGAGCCGTTACGGTGCGGCACGTGCGCGCGCGCCTAAGGAAAGGTCAGGGAAACTTCGCCACACACGCGAGGAGGTGAGGCAGGGGCCAGGCAGCCCTCGCGACTCCGCGTCTAGAAGATGTGTTAGTGTGTGTGGTTGCGTGTGTGGTTGTGTGTGTGTGGTTGTGTGTGTGTGGTTGTGTGTGTGTGTAGTGTGGTTGCGTGTGTGTGTGTGTGCGTGTGTGTGTGCGTGTGTGTGTGTGTGTGTGTGTGTGTGTGCGTGTGTGTGTGTGCGTGTGTGTGTGTGTGTGTGTGTGTGTGTGTGTGTGTGCGTGCGTGTGTGTGCGCGCGTGTGTGTGTGTGCGTGTGCGTGCGGCGCGCCTCTGCCTCACGGTGGCGCATCGGAGGAGTACCCGCCATCGAGAGCAAGTACCTGAATGAGTCAATGACGGCGGGTGTGAGATTGGACGAGTGAAGGAGGAGGGCCCGCCATCCGAGAGGAGGTACTTTCGTTGTGCT